GTGGTGGTGGGGGGGGGGAGGAAGGGCCAGGTTTCGAGGGCGGCCCTATGTACCGGTATGCTACATAACCGTGTATAACCATGTAGCATAGTCGAGTCGAGTCGAGTCTATCGGCGGGCAAGATCTTCTAAGATCCCGAGTCTATCGAATCACCTTGCGAGGCTTCTCCAACTATTCTCGCGATATAATGCTCGTGGGATCTCCTCGTTGCCGGGGAAGAAGAGATTGCGGAGATAGAGAGCCGCCAGCTGCGCCGGGCCAGCTCTTAACGCGGCTCCGTCGCGTCGTAAATTAACTCCCCTCTAAAGGAGGAAGGAGGAGCGAGAAAGCTTATTTGCTCCAATTTTTTTTGGACTCGTTGGTCACGGAGTCGAGGGAAGATTAATAGATTTATTTTTATTACGTTTTATTAATCGTCTCGTTTTCGATTTCGTTTTTTTCTTTTTCTTTTTTTTTTTTTTTTTAGATGAAGGCAAGCGTATCTTTGTCGGCGATCAATTTGCAAGGATAATTATCGCGCTTCTTTCTCCTTCGAGAGAAGAAGCGGCCCAGTTTTTGTCCAGTTTCAACCCCCTCCCGTTCTCTTATAAGTAACCCTCGCGAGGAGGGTTACTTGAGTCAGCGCGGTTGAACGTGACCGAACAATGATCTCCCCGGGAGATTTTACGGCGGCTTACTAGAAAAAATGAGCAATTAAGCTCTGCTCCCTCTCCCTCTCCCTCCCTCCCTCTCTCTCTCTCTGTTGCTAAGATAACGAAAAAGTACTGCCACGAGATTCAAAATTTTTAAGAAAAAAAAAAGTTTTAAAAGATGAGTTTTGTCGTGGAATTAGGATGGAGATAGAGGTAGAATTAGGAGATAAAAGTGGAGAACGAAAAGCGATGCGTGGACGGAAGTTGATAAATCCCAGCCACCGTTGCGTTCCTACAATACAATCGAATCGCCTCCGTTCCGTATTCGACGAGGCGAGCGTCGTTGAACGGATCGCGAGCGTGACCGCCTCTGGAGCGGCCAAGCTTTCAGGGACGAAGGAAAGGAGAATGGAGGAAACGAAGAAATAAAAAGAAACGGTGTAGAGAGGAGTAGGGATGGAAAATAAAGGGGAGTGGATACCAGCGCGCAATCCCTATTAACCCTAGGATGCTTTGGCAGAGTTAAAAAAGTTGAAAAAAAAAGAAAGAGTCCACGGAATTAAAAACTCTTTAACATTCCATCCCTGTCAATAATATTCCCCCGCGAATAAAGGTATCTCTCCCTCCTCTCTTTCTCTCTTTCTCCCTTCCTCTCGGTCTCTCTCTCTCTCTCTGTCTCAAATTTCCCAAATGTCCTGTGCCAAGGCAAAAACGGAACGCACAATGGGACACGAACGTTCCAATCTCCCTCTCTCTCTCTCGGTCGCTCGCTCTCTCTCTCTGTCTCTCTCTCTCTCGCGCTCTCTCTCTCGCTCGCGCGCTCTCTCTCTCTCTCCCGCTCTCCCGCCCTCTCGCTCGCTCTCTCTCTCTGTCTCTCTCTCTCTCGCGCTCTCTCTCTCGCTCGCGCGCTCTCTCTCTCTCTCCCGCTCTCCCGCCCTCTCGCTCGCTCTCTCTCTCTGTCTCTCTCTCTCTCGCGCTCTCTCTCTCGCTCGCGCGCTCTCTCTCTCTCTCCCGCTCTCCCGCCCTCTCGCTCGCTCTCTCTCTCTGTCTCTCTCTCTCTCGCGCTCTCTCTCTCGCTCGCGCGCTCTCTCTCTCTCTCCCGCTCTCCCGCCCTCTCGCTCGCTCTCTCTCTCTGTCTCTCTCTCTCTCGCGCTCTCTCTCTCGCTCGCGCGCTCTCTCTCTCTCTCCCGCTCTCCCGCCCTCTCGCTCGCTCTCTCTCTCTGTCTCTCTCTCTCTCGCGCTCTCTCTCTCGCTCGCGCGCTCTCTCTCTCTCTCCCGCTCTCCCGCCCTCTCGCTCGCTCTCTCTCTCTGTCTCTCTCTCTCTCGCGCTCTCTCTCTCGCTCGCGCGCTCTCTCTCTCTCTCCCGCTCTCCCGCCCTCTCGCTCGCTCTCTCTCTCTGTCTCTCTCTCTCTCGCGCTCTCTCTCTCGCTCGCGCGCTCTCTCTCTCTCTCTCTCTCTCTCTCTCTCTCTCTCTCTCTCTCTCTCTCTCTCTCTCTATTAATTTATTTATCTCTATCTATCTATCTATTAATCTATCTATCTCTATCTATCTATCTATCTATCTATCTCTGTCTCTGTCTTTGTCTCCGTCTCTGTCGAGCAAACGATAGAAGAGATAGAAAAAAGGGTTACTTTTCGGCTAATTTGGCGAAGCTCTCCACCTCGAAGCCACGAGGCGCGATTAATTCTCGCGTCAGCCGAGACACGCGACGGGCGTGAAGAGGGAATCCCCTCAACTATCGTTCGTTTAGCCTCTCTCGGATCGAACGATGGATCGTATTTAGGGCCGGCATTCTTATAAATCGTCTCGGCCGGATTAGTCGTCGTACGAGCGCGGCGCCCCTAATGGATCACGTTTCACGGAAATAATCAACGGAACTGTTCCTCCTCCTCCTCCTCCTCCTCCCCCATCGCCCGCGACGCGAACTAATCGGGGATGGGAGGGAAGGGTCGGTGATATTGTTGCGGATAAATTATTGCCGCACCGATTATCGACGAGCAGCTCGTAAATGACCCATATTTCGTGCGTCGATCGTTCCATCTACGATCTGTACTTCCATCTGTCTCGCGATATATCTACAGTTTATAACCTTGATAGGATTCTTCTGCTTTATCCGATAACTATCTTATATACGATAAAAATCGATAGGGCGAGGGGAAGGAAATGTAATGTAGAGAGAGAGGGAGAGAGAGAGAGAGTGGATTGTTGGCTTTTTAAACGTTTAGGGGAAGGGAGAGGAGTTATTACGTCCGATTCCATGAACTGAAACGAACGATTCGATTTATTATTATTGTTATGTCGATAATATATATCGATATCGATATAATTTTATTCTTTCTTTTTTTTCTTAAGTGAAGGTTAAAATGACACGCGAAGGTAATTTTATAAAGAAAAAGTTTCTCGTACATTTTAATGTGTTATATATATCGTGAGATTGTGGATGTTGATTCCAAGTTATCCGGTATCGGTTACAATAGCTATTAGTATTTGGTTTTTTCGTGATATTTTAAGAAAAGAGAGGAAGAGAGGATCGATCTTTTTTTTTTTATATTCGATGAGCATCGCTGCTCATCTATCCGACACGGATTTTCCGCGTTCCTTCGCGATTTTCTTTCCCTCCCTCCCTTCGTGACAAAGGCTTGCCTTGTTGAAACACGGTATTTTAGATACCGGTTGAGCCGAGAAGAGAATGGAATTGAAATTAAATCCTTGTTTCGATATAGAGCTATCCGCTTTGACGGATGTAAGGAGGAATTCTTTAGTTGGTAGCAAAAGATTTAAATGTTCTAAACGTAAAACGTGGAAAACGTGGTCGAAGTTATCGCCATTTTTTTTTTCACGATCGGTCGATCGATCGTTAAGTATTAAGGATCCATTGGTCTTCGGCAATCGGTGATTTCGTTCGCTGAAAAGTTTGGCAAGAAAGTTGCGGTACGTTCCCTCGCAGAAAAGTCAAACTTTAATTTGATTCCTCGAGATTGACGCGGGGTCGATACGAGGGGTTGGTGTGGGGCGGGAGGAATAAGATCGATGAGAGAAACGTGACGAGTTCATTTTGGAAATAAGAAAAGTTTCGTTGGAGCTGTAAGATCGGGTATGGATATGGATTTCATTATTCTTCGAAACCAATCTCTGTGTCTGATCGCTCAAGTTTACAACTTTTTACAGATCGTCGAGGGACAGTTCCAAAATCCAGAATCCAGAATCCAGAATCCAAATTCCAAAATTCAAAGTCCAAAGTCCAAGATTTAAAATTCAAAATTCAAAATCCAGAATCTAGAATCCAGAATCCAAAGTCCAAAATTTAAAATCAAAAATTCAAAATCTAGAATTCAGAATCTAAAGTCCAAAATCCAGAATCCAGTATCCAATATCCAGAATCCAAAATCTAAAATCCAAGATTTAAAATCCAAAACTCAAAATCCAAAATCTAGAATCTAGAATCCAGAATCCAAAGTCCAAGATTTAAAATCAAAAATTCAAAATCCAGAATCCAGAATCCAAAGTCCAAAATCCAAAATTCAAAATCCAAAATCCATAATCCAGAATCCAAAATCCAGAATCCAGAACTCAGAATCCAGAACTCAGAATCCAGAATCCAGAATTCAGAATCTAAGATTTAAAATCCAAAATCTAAAATTCAAAGTTCAAGGTTTAAAATCCAAAATCCAAAGTTCAAAGTCCAAAATTTAAAGTTCAAAATCTAAAATTCAAAATTTAAGGTTTAAAATCCAAAATCCAAAGTTCAAAGTTCAAAATTTAAAGTCCAAAATTTAAAATTCAAAGTTCAAGGTTTAAAATCCAAAATCCAAAGTTCAAAGTTCAAAATTTAAAGTCCAAAATCTAAAATTCAAAGTTGAAGGTTTAAAATCCAAAATCCAAAATCCAAAGTTCAAAGTCCAAAATCCAAAATCGCTAGCTTTAACGTTATTAATATGGGTACTGCGATTTGTTATAGGTTGCTCTTGCGTCATCTACAGCAGCTCGGACAGACCTCAAGGTGGCACGTTCACATCGCCTTATTACCCCAAGCCATATCCGTCGAACATCGATTGCCTCCTTTACACGTTCATCGGTCAACCCGACGAAATCGTCAAGCTGACGTTTCACCACTTCAATATCCGTCGCGCTCGATCAGAGTAAGTATCCCAGAGTCGAGTTTCAAACTCGTTCACATTGCGGCATCGCCACAATTTTTCCTCGCGATACAAAGGATAGGAAGTATCCTGCACCCTCCTCCCCCCTTGATAAACTTCACAGCTTTGTTTCTAAGCGAAGAGCAACACTCTAGATAATACGAGGTTGAAGTATTAGATGGAGGGAGAAACGAAATACACAGGCATTTCAAGCTATTTACAAGATTACCTACCTTCAAACTTTCGTTCGATGTTTCGTTCCAAAAAAAACGATCGATTATACATCAAGGAAGAATTTATATTTACCACTTTTATCCTAATAAATCTATTTTGAACGAAATTTTATACAATTAACTTGCACTACTTGTGTTATTATCTTTTAAATGAACGAATTGTTTGCTTGTAACCTGTTCCAAACGGGTTAACCGGGTTCTTATACGTATATAAACTTGGGAACAAGGTGGTTACTGCGGGGCCATAGTAGCCCTCTCTCGGTATGTAACGAGATTGTGGTTCGAGCCAGAGCCTGGGTTAGTCTCTGGTATGTATTAACGATGTTTATTTTCTCATAAATTGTTGTCTTTTAAAATTTCGTAATTTCGTCCGTAACTCTTACGATTATAGAGACGACGTATGTCGAGATGTTGCAAGAAATCCAATGAAATTTGTGATCTCGTACTTGGTCGATGATCTGCGCGCAAATATTTAGATATATTATTATATTAAGCGAAATGAATGGTGTTGTAAAATAGTAAAGTAAAAAAAGATGTATTAATTCGTATTTCGTGATCGATATTTCGTCAAGATTTATTGCTCGATTTATTATTGACATAGGAATACATACATATTTCGAAACGAATATAAATTATTATTAAATTGCCTTTGTCGCAAAGTATCAAATGTCACTTGAATGCAAATATCGTATTTGCAATTATCGAGTGTATATTGATAAATTCATCAGGGAGATAATAGGATTAATTGTTTTCACAACAATACCCATATTGAGATATAAAATAGAATTTGTCGTATTTCCCATTGTCCCATATTTGTCACGAAGATAATTATCGCTTTATTTAATTGTTATTTTTCTCCCAATTCTTCTTTCTCTTCAAATTCAAAATCTTCGTTTATTCTTCATTTACAAGAATGAGTCTCGAGACGACACTCGACTTTGAAGGTTTATATCACGACAAAAAGCGAAAACGGCGTGGACAATGGTGCACATAAATCTGGAAGATTTACCACACTATCCGACGTGACGGAAGCTTAGTCGAGCATAGTTAGCCCCTGTTATGTCTCGAGGAAAGACGGATCATCGGATAAGAGGCGTTCCGTCTTACATCGAGCAAGTTGGCGGCTGATTAGCCGATAGTTGGACGCTGTGTTTCCTTGATAGTCGGTTTGCAAATCAGCTCTTCATTGTATATATCTATATATATATGTACAAAATGTCTACAAGCGACCGATTTTACCTGTGAAAATAATGGAAAATTTTCAAAAAGTGAAATTGGATAAAAATGAATTATTATTTAAATTCAATTTTCTAAATTTATTTTTAAATGAACGAAATTCCTATAATTTATTCTAGTATCTAATTTCATTTGTACTTGAAAACGAAGCCTTGAGAAAAAATAGAGAGAATTACTCACGAATATAAATTTGCGGTGTGTTTCAGATATAAGGTTACCTTGAGGAAAGAGGCGTGTCCAAAATATATAAAATCAAAGAGAATTTAACGACGAATTTCTAACAGGAAAATCCGATTGCGCGGATAACCGAAAGAAAATTTCGGGGCAAAAGTCGGCATTTCAAATGCATATCACGAAGTTTGCCGGTTGGTTTAGAGCCCGACTAAGTGCAGGAAGGGTCAGCGATGTGACACGGTCGGGGAAAGAGTCGGTTAGGAGTCCAGGAAGGAGGAAGTTATGAGACGAAAACGAGAAACGTTCCCGTGAATGCAACGTCCGTTTCCGTGGACGGGACCGACCGACCCCCGTAGATTTTATTTTCTGCTCCGAATGTCGCTGCTTCTCCGACCGGAATATGAATCTCCCTTTTGTAAAGTTGCGGTTTCACCTCTCTCTTCCTTCTTTTCATCAGTCTCTTATTATTATTATATCTGAAAATATAACGAACGTGGATTCTTTCTTTTTTTTTTTTTTTTTTTTGGTCAATAATTAATAACTAGTTTCGTCAAAGTTGAATAGATTTACTCACGGTAGACAGAACGCGGTTCATTTTCAATTTAATTCGCATCGGTGGAAGCTGTAACAACAAATTCAATTGGTGGAAATCCTTCTCATATTCTTGGCGGACTTATGCCGAGCACGTGCCTGTCCTCGGGCCGCTCTCCTTCTACACAGGATTCTATTTACAAATCCTCCAACGGTGGAGGCCATAAATCGTTTTCCGCTTCTAAGGACCGTCCAAGCGCTTCGCTATCCAATATTAAGCTGGCCATGAAGATGGCCCTATTAATATGGCGCGCGGAGGCACGGCGATCGTTTACACACAGCTCTCCACTATATATTCCAAAGCTGAGAAAATCCCTCGGAGAAGAGAGGAAACTTTGCTCTTAGATCCGGCCGCGTCGATATTAAGCTGCCTTTGCACACGATGCACGCCAAGTTTCATCCCACGGTGTGTCTTCGATACCTAATTATCGAATAACTTTGCAATAACGATATTATCGTCGATCGATTGTCTCTTCGAATTTATATACAAAGAGTGATAAAAGAGTGTGGAGAGAGGAAAGGGATAACTTTTCTTTTCACCAGTATTATATTTCCACCACTTGAACCCGTATTTTCACGAATATATAATATCACCGAGTGAAATATTTGCCACAAATGGTGCCCGAATCGAGCAAGGAAAGTTTACTTTATAAACAGAACTAGTAGAAATTATTCATAGTTCCAGTAGTCGTAATCAAACACGGTGTACATGGTACAAGTATTTAAACGTACATACGCGAGTAGAATAATAACGGCTGGATGCTTAGCGATGTAAACCGGGTCTAATCCGTCAAAGTATGCGAGCATCTAGGTTGAAAGGTTATGTTTCGCCGCGTAACGAATGCAGAAAATAGAGGAGCGAGCTGTCGATGTTTTTTCGATTCCTCGTGACTAAGACGAANTCGTCGATGGTAAACCGTAATATCCTCTAACGGAATTTTCCACGGTA